GTGTTAGTCCGTTTCTGTTGCTTACAACAAAATACCTGAAACTGGATAATTTGTAAAAAAATGAAATTTATTGCTTACATTTCTCAGGCTGGGAAGTCCAAAGTCCAGGGAACACATCTTGTGAGGGTCTTCCTTGGTGCTGGCTTCAGCGACACAGGGTATCACATTGCGAGATGGCAGAAGCAGAGAGAGAAAAAGCCTTCAGAATCATGCCCATGACACTTATTAATCCATTTATTAGGGCACAGTCCTCAGAATCTAATCACCTCTTCAAGGCCCTGCCTTTCAATTACCATAATAGGATCTCCCACCCTCAACAGTTACAATGGGGATTAAGCTTCAATACATAGAACTCGAAGAACACAATTCAGTCCACATCCTGGTGTGGTTCCGTTTCTATGAGGTACTTAGAACAGTCAGACTCGTAGAGACAGAAGGTAGAATGGTGGTTGCCAGGGGGTGGGAGGAGGGGAGGGCGGATAGTTAATGTTTAATGGACACCAAGTTTCAGTTTTTATGTCATCACACTAAGTGAATCATTGCGTAGTATATGCTTGTACTGAAACAACATAGTGCACCCCACAAAGATGTACAAGCAAATGGTAAAATAAAAAAAGTTCCAGTTTATAAGATAAAGAGTTCTGCAGATGGATGGTGCTGATGGTTGCACAACACTGTGAATATACTTGATACCACTTAACTGTACCCTTAAGAATGGTTAAGACGGTAAATTTTATGCTATGTGTATTTTACCACAATTTAAACAATGGGAAAAAAAAAGGATGAGTCTTCCGTGCTGAGATGCTAATGGAAGCCGAGTCACAGTGAATGCGGGAAAGGGCCGAGGACTGGGACTGAGGAAGCCGGAGGTCAGGGGCTGGGTAGGAAGGACGATCACGTAAGGAGGCTGAGAAGATGGTTCCAGAAGTGGGAGGAAACCTGGGAGAGCACAGAATGTGGAAACCCAGAGAGGACGGGGTTTCAAGAGGAAGAGGTCCAGGGTGCAATGCTGCTGAGAATGCGGGGGGTGGGGGAGGTCGAAATGCCCACAAGATACGAGAGCCTGGCGGTCACTGGTGACGGCAGAATCATGTCTCCTGTCCTGCCTGCTAACTGTGACTGTAAACTCCTTGAGAGCAGGCACCTTGAACAGATTTCTACATCCTTTCACTACTTAATGAACTCACATGATACA